TGTCATAACCTAATGCTTTATCTTTATATCAAACCTTAGCTTACATAACGCTATAACATTCAATAAGATGATGCCACTCTTGCTGCGTCACCTCTTACCCTCAGCGCAGTGGAAAGTGATCAACGTGACCAAGCTAATGTCACACCAGCTGTTAATACAACAATTATGTTACCTTTGATCTCTACGAAAAGGACTCGGCATGAATACGATTGGAAGGGTAACAAAAGGAAGAGGTTGAAAGAACTGGGGATGCCTCTACCCATGTCAAGGCGCGAAGCGAGCAGGATGTGAACTTGACGTCCTTGGCAGTTGTAAACTGGTTGGTACAAAATGCAATGACATCACTGGTCACTCTCTTGGAAAGAAAAGAGAGCCTACGTATATGCCACGATAAACATGATAGACAAAAAGAGATCTTACACACGGGGAAAACCCAAGGAGAACTTACAGCCACTTACAAGAGTCAATGGTCAAAGAACACCTGTTTGTAAAACAATCTTCAAGAACACCACAGGCCTGACCCACTGGTTTATTTAAAGTGTCTTCTCCGAAAAAACAACAACCAAGAGGTCCACCCACCTAGAACACATCACGCCCACGATGAGAGAGCCAAGGATGACAAGTTGTTCCATAAAGAGGAATTTTTGGACAAACTTTCGAAGATATCCTCCTGTCTACAGATGACAATCCAGAAAACGTCAGATCTACATCAAGTATACATGGAGAACTTTGCAGAGAGAGTGAAAGCCACATTGAGCTATCAAGTGTTCTGCCAAAAGTTCAAGAAAAACAATTTGAGTTTACTTTCAACCAGGAAAAACCAGTGCGACATTTGTACAAAGTTCAAATCTGGAAACCTCACAGAAACAGAACACACAGCTCAAATATGAATATGAGGAAAGCTGCCGCTAGACCAGAGGAGAAGGACAGGGAGGCTGTGTGTGTCCTTTGTATGGAGATCCAGTGCGTCCTTCTGGCCTCATCACTAAAGACTTCCACCTTATATAAAACAAAACTGGCTGTACACAATGTTACGACTTAGGATCTTGCCACCAGAGACGCCAGATGATATGTCTGGTATGAAAGTGAAGTTGGTCTGGGCTTCAACAGTTTTCATCTTGTCTGACTCACTAACTGATATTGCAAGTGACTGACTTCAACCACTTCATCATCGGCAGTGATTGGCGTAACTACTAAAACAGAAAGCCACCCTGGTGAGTGCAATGGCCTCGCTGGCCAACGAGCTTGACATCACAGTTGAGCAGAAATTCTCCCCAAGGGCCATACCCAAATGGAAGTGGATTCAGTCCATGGCACTATTGAGCGATCGCTAAAAATCGCACGGCCTATGAAGTTATGTACCTGGACCACAGCTTTTTCAAAGATTTCGCAAAGGTCGGAGAGCACTAAACAATCCGTCCAGGGAGAAAAGCAGGCGATCCTACTGTCACTGACTTGCAGGCATCAAAGTACACTCCAGTCTTTAAAATTCAGTACAAGCTGAACTTTGATGATGGATGGCAGGCGCTGCAAGGACCAAGAAAGCTGAACACCATGTGTACGACGGTTACTGCTGGACCTCTCTGCAAAGACAGATTGAAGATAACTGCCAACCAGTATAAACATCTACTTGAGTTGAAGGCCGTCGTACCACGATGCTACCACAATTACCATGAAACTTTGCCTCAGTAAGAAGTTTTGAAAGCGATCAAGCCAAATTCGATTATAATTGTAGAGTCTTTCAAAACAATGGTAACTTTTGTCGTATTGCCTTGTTGTAGCCATAGGACACAGAGTGAGACAGACATGCTCTTCTGTCGTCGAGAAAACTCAATAAAGTAGTAGTTGTCAAGCCACGCACTTGGAGAAAGCTGGCGCATTCTTTGATGGTACTCACAAAGTCTTTTTGTATAATAATGATATATCATTATGTAACCAACTTCTCCCAAACCATTGCTAAGGTAGCAGAGCTTTTGTGTGGTTTTCTGCTTTCATTTCTTTCTTAGTATTACTTTTTTCCAGGCATTTGAAAGGCCACCCAGTGCCAATAGTACCATGTCGGACACGGTCATAAATTCTA